ACTGCACCCAGAACCCCATCACTGCACCCAGAAACCCATCATTGCATCCAGAACCCCATCACTGCATCCAGAATCCAATGTTGTCCCCAGAATCCCATCACTGCACCCAGAATTCCACTGCTTCATCTAGAATCCCATTTATGCCTCCAGAATCCCACTGTTGTCCCCAGATTCTCTTTGCTGTCCCCAGAACCCCATCACTACATCCAGAATCCCATGACTGTCTCCTGCACCCCACAGCTGCCCCCAGAACCCCCCAGGATTCCCAGCTCTGACCCCAGCACCCCAAAGGCACCCCTGTCCCTGTCCTGGCCGGGCTCTCACAGGATGTTGACACAAGCCAAGCTGTGGCCACCACGTCACCCGTGGCTCAGTGACGTGAGAGAGGCACAACAGGAACCCCAGGAAATTCCTGCAGGATTCCAGGGCTGCTCCTGGGGTTTAGCACAGCACTTCCCAGCTCTCTGGTTTTGGGGTCTCTAAAGGGCTGGGGGAGCAGCAGGGCCCCTGAGAGCCCCTGAGAGCCCCCAGTGCCATCCAGGAGTTCTGGGGCAGGATCCCAAAAACACCCATGGGGTGATGGAGGGACACCTTGCAAGGATGCAGCAGATCCAGGGAATCAGGCAGATCCAGGGAAGGCAGCAGAGCACAGTCCTTCCTTTGAAAAGATCCGGAATATTTAAGGCAGCAGAGGTCACAGGAGGGTCACTGGCCACCAGCCCACGCCTCCTCCTGCAGCACATCAGAAAGCAAAGCACGTGTGGGACCAGCACCTCTCCTAAAATCCCAATTCCTGGGCACCTCAGGAGCTCCCTGCACATCCCAGGTCAGCCCATCAGCCCTCACACACCCTGCTCCCACATTAATGCCACCCACTGAATTAATTAATTAATGCACCCAGCAGGAACCGAGAGACAAAACCAAACAGGGTGGGAGAGGAGAGGGATAATTTGGGTAGGCACAGCCACATTTGGGTGTGTTTACACCCAAACCCCTCGGCCACACACTGGGAAATCTGAACCAGAGCAGCATTTTTGCAGAGTTTCAGGACTCAAAAGTTCCAAGCAACTTCTTGGACACTGGGAGGTTTCCACTCCTCATCCAAACACTCCCTGCTCCAAAACCCCGCTGGGAGAGCAGCAGCAATGGGAAATATTTACATCCAGCAAGCAAATATGGTTTTTATAAACCTAGCAAAGTCAAGAGTCCACTTGAGGCAACTCAGCCCAGATGCTGCCAGTCCCTGCCTGGAGGGAATTGGGGTTTGGGGAAAACAGAACTTGAGAGATGGGCATCAGGAGTGGGATATGAGGAGTGTGCCCTCTTCCCCATCACAAGTGTCCTGAAGGACCTTGACTGAGAAAAGAATGCTACAAAAAAAAGATAAATTTAAAAAAGAAAAAAGGCCTAGAGTGAGGAAATATCCTTAATAGGCACAAATAAATTCCCAAACTGATGAGCACCACTTGGACTGCAGCAAACAGAGGAGGCATTTCCCCAAAGGCATTTTCAGCTCAAGCAGTGTGAGACTGTGCTCCTTCTCCTCGAGGAGTTCTGCCATTTAAAGCTGCTGTGTGTGACTATCTCTTGACCAAAATAAACTCTGTGCCTGTTTCTAAATTAAAAAAAAAAAAAATAGGGAAAAAAAAAAAAGTTCTGAAAGCATTTCCCTTCTGTCACACCCATCAAGTGCAGCTATTTTCTGTGTGTTGTCCTTTGTTTTAGCACAACGACCTCTGTCTATCCCCGAAGATGCCCCATGGCAGTTGGGAGATCAGAAACCAGAGCTCGTCAGCAGCTGAAGAATTTGCAGTGAAGCTCTTTTTCTTCCTCCAAACTACGAGCCTGCCAGCCACAGGGTTTGGATGGGAATTTTTTTCCCAAGGAATATGACATTTAGGGCAGGGCCACATGATCCATGTGCTGGGATGGCTGCAGGGAGTTCTGTGAGTGCTCCCACACCAGGAATCATCCCCTGGACACCAGACCCAGCAGAGGAGCCTGAGTTTTGTGTTTCTGGTGCTCATCAGCAGATCTCTGCCTTCCCAAAGGTCTCTTTGGGATGGATTCCCACCTCACAGAGGTTTTTAGCAGCAGCAGCCACCAAAGCCAGACACTGATGGCACCAGAAGGGCACAGACTGATGGCACCTTCACTGAAGTCACACAGCAAACTGGGAACAGATCCTGGCAGTTCCAAAATCCAGGGTAGATCACCCTGCTGGATCACCCTTCCCTCAGACAGCACTCTTCTGGCATTACCATAATAAAAATTACAACAAGAATATTAATGATCATTTTCAATAAGGGAAGAAAAAAAAATTGTTCCTAAAACATTTGTACCCAACACCCGTGGGCAGCTCCACTGCTATTTCGGTTATTTTGCTGTTTTTCCATCCCCTTGGCATTCAGCACAAAGCTGCACCTCGGACCAGCCAACATCCATGGCTGGATGCAGCCCAGATGGGCAGGTCAGACCCTCCGGGAACACCCGGAATGCCACCAGCCCTGGCCACCCTTCCCTGTGGCATTTTGTCACCCAGTGTCACTCCAAGTGCTGCTGCCTGGCCAGGGCACGTCTGCAGCAGCTGAAGCAGCTTTTGCTGATCCAGCACTATCACCAAGGGCTGTGATTTTAACATTTCTAGACCACAAAATGTCCCAGAGCAGGAACAATTCCAACATGCAGAGGCGCTTTTTTTTTTTTTTTTTTTCCCAGGATAGCTCATTTGTACTGGAATAAAGTGTACCAGCATAAGCTTTCACCAGAATAATCTTCATTTATGCCTAAGAGGCTTTGCCAGTAAAACTACAGTGACCTAGCTCTGCTGGAAAACCTTTTCTGGCATATCCTGGGAGTTTACTCAGCAGCTTGGTGGCTCAGCACTCGGATCTGACAGAGGGGAAGTTAAAAAAAAAAAACAAAAACCAAACATATTTCAAGGCACAGACTCCCTGAGGTGTGTTTTTTGCAGCTGGGGAGAGCTGCTCACCTGGGGTACAACCCATAGACAATCCATTGGGATCAGAGGGGTTTGCAGCATCCCAGGCTGGGTTTGAGGAGTTGTCACTGCAGGACCAACCCAAGAGCCTGTCCCT